TTAAAAAACGTACATCTTTCTTGAATATGATACATTTGAAATGTACTTTGTTTATTTGAATCCATTTAACCTTGACAATAAAGAAGGATACATTAAGATAAATAAATAGAATGTAGTTAGTTAAGTTGCCTAGGATAGAGTTTGATGGAGAATGTTGATAGGCGGCCTATACTCCTTCACGAGGGGTAACAGGCGTAAGTAAGTAAGTAAGTAAGTTAAGTTATTTATTAGGTGAATATTTTCTTATTATAAACATTTTGATTAACTATCTAAATTAGATAAAAGTTATACTGAAGTAAGAAATAATAGTATTTTAACGAGCGAGATCATGGATACACATTGCTAAGGAGTCCCATACTAGGACGAAACAGCCGTCCAGTACTTCTAAGTTTTCAATGATGGTCTTACTTTAATTAAATTATGAATTCAATTATTAAATTGTTATAATATCCACAAAACTCCTTTCCGATTATAATCATCATATGCTAACTAGTGACTGTCTTCAAGATGTATTTATTGAATTTTTGTGTGAGAATCTGTGACCAGTTGTGTTCAACCTAGTTTATTGTGAGATAGGAACTCAGTGAAGACAGTGGTGGTTGGTGAGGAAATTTCATGGGTTGATTGAAGTTAGACATTGACAGTGTTAGATACCGTCTCTGTGGTCTAGAGGTTAGGCGTTCGCGTACTATACCGTTGTCCCTGGGTTCTTATCCCGCTAGAGGTATCGTGAATGCACACTGCTGAAGAGTCTCATATTGATACAAAACAGCATTTCAGTACTTCCAGGCTTTCCATGACGGTCTAACTTACGTCGATTCATGAAGTCAACTGTTAAATAACCTATTGATCACATATGCCTATTTGTATACAGATTTTTACTGTGAGTTGATAATTGGTCAACGAGTATCATGGATAATTGAAGTAGTGGGCATAGAAAACTTGATTGTTCATTGAATGATTACAAAATGAATAGAATGTTTTATTAATAAATATGTTTTTACTGTTATATCCCAAAAAGTAGAGAAATTGTATTTCTGATGTTTCGTAACTTAATGTAAACTACTTCTTCAGATTGAATAAATAACCGACATTAAATTAACACAAGTTTAAATAGTACAAAGGAAACAATGAAAAATATGTTTAGTACAATCAAAATCATAATAATAAGCAAAGATGGATAGTGACTAGCAGTGGAATCCAGTTTGACGCGCGTTTCGTCCTATTTGGGACTCGTCAGCTGGATGCACCTGCATCTCAGAGTTGACGTTCACTTTGGGATTCGCACAGTATGCAAATATGCCAGTTAGAGACTGACCAGTTTCAGTCTTAAAACATCAATGGTAAGATTCAAACAAGACAATACTAAGAGAATTTAAAATCATTGTAGGTCTGAATATGTCAATGTCGAATTACTCTTGATCAATGTGATTTTGCATGATCTGTCACTGTATTAAATCTGTGTGTCAGATTGTGGATATGAAAAATTATATGGAAGTGTAATGTCAAGTAGTGGGTTTGGAATTGTTGTGTATGTGTGTGTATGTAGATTGTATGGACAATAAGTAAGGTCAAATGTGGCTGATGGTTGACCCAATATTAACTAGCCTCAAGAGTTATTATATTCCAGACATTCATTTATATACATACAAGACCAGAGCATACAACAGACCAATCCAATCGGCCACTGAGTCTTGATGGCCACTTGCTTGTGCAATGGGGTGAAGTTTGAATTCACTTAGTATTGTTTTGTTTGAATCTTCCCATCGATGTGTTAGGACTGCAACTGGTCAGCCTCTAATTGGCATATGTGCATCGTGTGAGTATTGCCTTGATATAGCCTAAATTCACAAGCATGGTAAGCAAAGATGGATAGTGGCTAGCAATGGAATCCAGGACGCGCGTTTCATCCTATTTAGGACTGACCAATTGCAGTCCTAAAAACATCAATGGGAAGATTCAAACAAAACAATACTAAGTGAATTTAAACAACAGATTTGTTGTTATTATTTACATTGTTGTTGTTGTTGTTGTTGTTGTTGTAAAGTACACTACATCCTTTACTTAAACAATAATACTAATTATTATTGTTATTATTTTTAAGATTAAGGTGACCTTCCTACTTTTCAATGATCAATAATAGAAAATGTAATCATTAATAATTTTATAAGTAAAGGGGAATGGTAACTAGTAGTGGAATCAAGGACGGGTGTTTCGTCTTATTTGGGACTCGTCAGTTGGATGTATTTGTATCTCAGAGTTGATGTTCAAGCTGATGGCTATCAGGATTCAGCTAAGTGGATAACACCATGGCGTTTGAAGTGACTGATATTGGGTTCGATTCCTTTCTGAAGTGAACATCAACTCTGAGATGCAGGCACATCCAGCTGACGAAACTCAAATAGGACGAAAGACACATCTTGGATCCTACTGATAGCCAACATCCGAAACGTAAGTCCTTGATCCCACTACTAACCACCATCCATCTTTGTTCTCATTCTCTTCTTAACCTTCTGCCTTCAGGTATTTCACTTTCGATTAGTACTACATACTACTTATATCTGCCGACATCGGTAGCAAACATCACAGCATATTAAAAAAACTCATATGCATCATTAGTTCATATAACTAATATTTGCTTACAATTCGAATTCACAATATTAAAGTGATTACTTTAACATTGAGATAAATCTAACTATACTCAATTACTTGATTTGTCATAAATTTGTAGTAGGCATCGAGTCGCGATTGACTATGGTTACCACTACAGGAAGATTACGTCTCAGATATTGAGTTGGATCCCTCCGTAAGCCAAACATCAGAAGGCAGTTGATGGTTGTATTAAGATATATTTGTTGGCAATCTCGTGGTATCAAAAGAATGCCGAGATCGTGCCAAAGTTTACAAGTAGAACTACCGAGCGTATGTGAGTTCGTGCAAGGTCACAGACGACGAAAGGATGTATATGTTTTGTACACTTAAACAAACAAGTACAGTAAAACAATCACTGGTTTAATTGATTATAATAATAATTGCTTCCATTCTACCAATCGCGTTCTCGTCGAGAAAAGCAGGTTACTACAAGTTATCTCAAATGAATCCTTTTCTTTATTTGTGTTCTTTTCTGTGGTATTATGATGTAAGTTACTTATATCCACACAAGTATTATATGACAATGGTCAGGCATAGAATGTATTTCAATAGAAGATCGATAAGGAAAGAACTGAAACGAAACGTAATTGATATGAAAATGTCTGAACAATAAAACAGGAGATGGATTGATATTTACAGAAGGAACGGTCTAGATTAAAACAGTTGATTAATAATTTGCAAATTAACTATTTACTGTGTGGTTGTAAGATTTTAGTAAGATATTCTGTCAAACACATCCGATTGTCCCCACTTGTGTTCTTGTTTACTACAGTATGAATGTTTCGGTAGTCTCCTGTATATCCATGATTCTCAGAGGTAGACTCTGACAAAAATTTAATGTTCATAGTAAGTCATTATTAAATGTTAACAGGTACAGACATAAAGCCTATACGAAAGGTTTTCATTTCCCTGATATATTACAAATATGAAAGAGATTTGTTGTGTATTTATTTATACCAGCGATTCCTAAGGGTCCATAATATACCTATATTCTGAGAAGGGGTTTCATGGAGATTTCAGTTTTTTAATTGTTGAAAGCATAAGTCAATTGAAGCTAGACCACCAAGGAAAACCTGGAAGCACTAGATGGCCGTTTCGTCCTATTGTGAGACTCCTCAGTGGCAGCGCGCATCCACGACCTCGCCTCGAGAGATTCGAACCCAGGACCTACCAGTCTCTCGTGGATTGGTTGAAGTTAGACATTAGCACCATGGATACCGGTTCAGTGGTCTATCGTTCAAGTGCTCTTGAGCAAGACTGGTAGATCCCGAGTTCGAATCTCTCTGAGTGAGGTCGTGGATTCACACTGCTGAGGAGTCCCATAATATGACGAAACAGGTTTTCTTTAGTGGTCTAGCTTCAATTGACTCATGCTTTCGACAATGAAAATACCTATATTCATATATCCTATTTAATGATATGATATGTATTTGGTTTATTTACTCATTTATTAGCTTTAAGGCATAATAATTTAAACTGAAACAGTGTAGCTGTTTAGCTAACTTATTTTTGTATATTTATTAAATGAGCTAATGACCCTCTAACCTGGCCTACTCTAATCTGGTAGTCAGACTACCCTCATATTTTAGTATATTCTAAGGAAAGTTAAATTTATCATGATTCAGAATGCAACTGACCACATCCTTTTTCGTGATCATTTCTGACCTTGAGTCTCTAAATAAAACAGAACGTTCTGATACTCATTCTTCCTTAGTATTATTTCAGTAATCTTAAAAAGAAGAAAGAATATTTAACACAGTCTTCTTAAGTTTCTTTTGGTAGTGATCAGTGATAATCTAAAAACTTTGAAAGATTATTTTGGTCTCAATTGACTATCTTCATTTATACACTTACTTACTTACTTACTTACTTATTTACTTACGCCTGTTACTCCCAATGGAGCAAAGACCGCCGATCAGCATTCTCCAACCCACTTTGTCCTCACCCCTTCTTTCTAATTCTATCCTATTTCTGTTCATTCTTCTCATATCTGTCTCCATTTCTTGAAGTAATATAATCTTTGGTCTTTCTCTTCTCCTTTGACCTTCAGGATTCCATGTGAGAGCTTGTCTTGTGACGCAATTGGGCGATTTCTTCAATGTTTGTCCTATCGACTTCTTGATTTCTTCCTCATTTATACGCACATTTCATTATTTCATTTTAACTAATCAATATGAAAACACTTAACAATAATGTCCCTTTTTTTTTTTACTCAGGCTAATGTATTATATATCAGTTTAGATTAATCTATAGATTATTATAAGTTAACATGGATTCTATACTTGTTTCCGGAGAATATATAAAACTAATTAAGTTATTAAAAATGTAAACAGTAATGTATAGATGAT